TTTCATAACGAAAACATATGAAAATTACACGTAACACGAAACTCGAAGCCTGGTTTTCCTAGAGCGCCCCCCATATGCTCATTATTCGTTGGGACATTATGCGCATTTTAAAAAATTCAGTGCGCATTATGCAATTTTGCCCATCTCTACCCATGAATAATTATTACTTTCAATTAATTAATTCTTTAATGTAAACAACAAAATAGCAACCAGGCTAAAGAAATGAAAATGTATGTTTTTCCTGACTTTAAGCAACAGCTAATGACAGCAGAACTTCAAGAATACCATCAGGAAATCATGATCAAATACAAGGGGTCAATGTTTTCATTGCTATATTAAAATTTTATTGAAATTTTCTTAAAATACCAGTGTCTACTATAATTTATTGATGGCAATGGATATTTAAGATTAGAAATCCGATTAATTTAATAATTAGCATGAATTTTTTTTGCATTCACTCATTTTTAACTCGGGAATTTTAAAAGTGAATTTTTTAAAAATCGATCATTTTTAAGGATATAACGTGGTGGTGATATTGTACTTCCCCCAAAAACCCGCGTCTGCAAATTTCCCTGTATGAAAACCCAAATGGGCATCACACTATACAAATATAAAAATCAGTGAATCGCTGAAATTTTTTCAAAGTTAGTCCTTAAACGAAACTTACACCAGATTTGGTATAGATTTGTAACTCTTAGAAAAAAAGGTTCCTTTTTTACCTTTACTATAGTCATATAGATAGACTCATGTGATTTATAATACACAGTGAGTTTCGATTTAGCAAATCTCGTTTAACGTAACGGATCTAAATTTTCCTTGATATAACAGATTTCTCTCTGATTATCTTTATATCGAGATTCATTGTGTAATAACAATCAAAGGCCTGAAATCAATCCAAAAATCTATGCCAAACCCGGTGTTATTAAGGAATACATTACCAGACCTTTTATTTTTGCAATTAATTTTTTCCTGGCTCTTTTTTTCTTTCTTTTTATGATGTGTTTTTTGTTTGAGCTTTTCTGTATCGTTTTAATGACCATTTTAAAATATGAAAGCGTTAGCCCTGAAAAAAATAGACTACAGGCTGCAAATAAAATGTAATATATGATAGAATGCCAATGATGATTTCTATATAGCCAAATTTTGGAGATCAACATTAAATTTTTATATCTTTCAAACCCAAATTCATTATATACAAAAATTAAAGTTAAATAGATAATAGATATATTTATTTGCAAAAAAAATTAAAATATGATAATATTATTCTAATTTAAAAATTTTTTTAATGTAAATATGAATTATTAATGTCTCTTTTCTACTACTCTATATACTTCATAATCTTCTATTAATTGAACTGCTTTATGTTTAACTCTAAGTTCAATATTATTATGATAAGAAATATTATAAAAACAATAATAACAATAAGGCACATTATTAATGTTAAGATCTAGTCGTAAATCACAAAAATTTACAGTAACCTCATGAAATCTCTCATTATCTATAGTATAATTTAAATTATGACTATTATGACATATTGCACATGCTGGATTTTTGACTCTGCTTAATATCGTATGATTTAGTAGGTGATTTTCATCAATTTTGAAAATAAAACTTTTATCTGTATAAATATAATAATTTTCATTTGGTAACTTTTCTTTCAAATGCCAAAAAACAGGATTATAACCACCCACCAATTCGCCTGTTTCTTTAATTTTCATAATCACTAAAGTTTGACTGAAATCGTGACATTTTTGCTCAAAAACTGATCTTGCAAATCCATCTTGACTACCTTGAAGAATTAATTCAAAATCATATGAAGCATTATTTCCATAAAAGGAACTATTTTGCTCAATCCAGCTAGAAATTAATGATTTTGTTTTCAGATTTAATAATTTTCCTTTTTCCATTCTTGGACCTTTTCGAAGAAGCAACTTGGGTTGCCATTTTTCATAATTAAAATAATACTGTAAAAGTTCTTCGTATATATCATTATTAAAAACTTTTTTATATGGTCTAATTTTATCATAAAAATCACTCGAAGAAATATTGTTGAATCTGATTAATGGAATGATATCTTCTAATATTTTTTTCAATTCTTTGAAACTCTCTTTACTCCATTTTGCAATATTTTTATCCAATGTCTCATTTTGCCCCATTCCCCATTGAATAACATAATCCCAAATATCAATTTCCTCCAACTTTAAATCATCACTTTCCAATATAGTTATAAACATTGATTTCTCAATTGTTGCAATATTATGAGATTTTAAAAATGCTTCTGGGTTTTTGAAAATTAATTTCTTGCAAAAATCTTGAAGCAGTTTGAGAATATTATGTTTTGCTGAAACTTTTTGGACGAGAATTAAGTTTCGTTGAATCCATTCTGCCTTTTCTTTGATGAAATAATTTTGTATATCATCAACCAACTCACTAAATTTCAATTCGCCGCATGCTTCAAGAAGTCTCAAAATTTCATTTGCATCCAGTTTATCTATGCTGACAGTTCCATTGTACATATAACTTAAATAAAAATAAAATTAAAATTATTATTATCATCGATCATTTAATTAATAAATCAAATAAATAAACTTGTTATAAACTTACGTCAAAAGTATTTCAAAGATTTTTGGTGGAATATTTTCTTTATCGAATAAAATCATACTACCATCCTTGGATCTTTTAGACCAATTGTTTGATAAAGCAGCTTTAAAATAAGGAGATCTTGCTTTTAAAATAGTGGAATTGGCTTTAAAAACTCTAACATCATCTTTTTTTCCAACTTTGATTTCCATGTCATAAAAGTCTGAACTGTTCAACAAATTTGTTAAATCATTTAAAAGTTTACCAAGATATTTTAAGGGTAGAGCAACTTTATAGTCAGAATTTACAAGGCTGTTAAGTATGAGTGTGACATTTTCCAAAGATGAAAAACTGTTATTATTAGCCATTTTGAATTTTGAAAATTTGAGATTAGAGAATTCAAATCTTTTAAAAAATGAACGTATGATATCTATATATAGTAATTATTTATTATTGTATATATATATATATAATATCTGTGTTGGTTTAATAAGGTAAAGAATGTACAGCTAGCAAAATAGCTCGACACAATTAGAAGCTGTGGTGAGTAAGAAGTTTGAAAAAAATTTTTTTTTTTCTTGTTTGTTTGTATTCTTATATTAATTATTGTTTAAAATAACTAAATGAATGTTCGTTTAAGTAAATATTGAAACATTGCACAAAAACAATTTTAGCAAAAACGAAATTTTTTTTAAACAAATACAAACAAATTTTATTTGTAAATAAAACCCTTGGACATTCAACACATGGTAACAAAAAAAATAATTATAGTACTTTTTCGTACCTTAAAATAATACAATGCCATTACTACATCTACATCTATCATTCAAAAAAGTTAATTAGCGATTCATCTATGAATGAATGCAATGTCGATCTCTATTATTTTCGGCATGTAACGTTATGGGTGTCGTTTTGCTTTTTTTAAACCTAGTACTAGTAATACAAATGTTCACTTTGTCTGGTGTTGACGGATCTTTGGAATTTAGGTATATATGATGGATTGGTCATTTGACGATAAATTATCCAACCAATGGATGATTTACAACTTTTATGTGTAAAGTTAACTAACCAAAAAAGAAATTGGTTTTATGAAAGAGATTTGACGCAGGGTTTATTAGTGGTTTGCTAGCAAATTTGGGGTTCTTAATTTAGGTCCAATTCCAAGAGTGGATAATTATGATGTCATTCGAGCCAAATTCATTGTCGATTCACTTGATCATAAAATGATGACCACATTTTCAAAAAATGCGAATGAATTCAGAGATGAAGGTCGTGTTCGTTCAAATAGTATAAAGGTACTATTTTGTTCTTAATATTGATCAAACAACATTATGAATCTCCATTAACATAACAAAGTTTATACAAGGAAAAACTGAGCTGACTTGTAATGAAATTGGTTAATTATGTTCAAAATATCACAGAGGATACGGAATCCAAAATATTTAAAGCATTTCTTTGGGACATACTCTTATATTGAATTATGCTAATGATTCATTCATTACTAATAGATTATCAAAAAAATCGAAAAGGAAATCAAAAAATCAATTAAAGATGTATCCAAAGATGATCTTGATGTTATAGAAATAGATTTATCACCCATTAAAACTAAAAAACGCGAGAAGGTTCTTGAAACTATTCATAATATTTACCAAGCCGAAAGAATTGATGATATATTGTTCATAAAAGTAAGTGTTATTATTGTTTTTGCAATTTTCATTCAGGTTCATTTTCTAATCTTTGTTGTTATTCAGTTTGATGGTTTTGTGAAGGGAGAAATGCATATGGCATTACTATATTCACTTGATCAACAATTAACTTGGGATATTCTGATTGATACAATATCAGTAGTTAATGGTAATGAATTTCGACCAGATATAGGGGTGGAGACAGAGACCAACACATGAGCAATGATTTAATCCCATCATTAATGCATCTCCGCCTCCTACCTTGTGGATTGAGGCAATATGTTAATCATTCTTGAAGGTACAATTGCTTTCTTAGTATTCTATTAAATTGATGAAATTGCAGATGGTATTTGACAACACAGAGCCATCTTTATATGTGTTGTTTTTTAATGTGTTATTTTTAACTTGTATTATTTAAAAAAAAGGCAACCTGGGTGCGATTGGAGAATGTTCTCAAAAATGAGAAGGTTAAATTACAGGAATCTTCTAATAAAAAATATAAGCAAACTTTAAAGCTTGCAAAGATCTTGTAAGTATCTTCCGGCCCAAGGTTTTCCCTGCATTTAATGTAGTTGATCTTTCTGATGTGCGAACCTTTGAAATTACTATAGCAAAGACCAATTCAAGGATTGTCATAACAAGTTTACAGAAGAACAGATTGAATATAAATTTTGTTTCTCAAATTTTCAAATTGTTTTTTAAAGACAATAAGTCTTTAAAACTGGATTAGTAAATATCCATTTCTTCTTGTTTAGTTTATGCTCAGACTTATACAACTTATTTCTTTAATAGGGGAAAGAAAATGCTAAAAGCATCAGCAATTTTAAAGAACGAATCACTCCAAGATAATTATAGATGTAGTCACGGTAATAAGATTGGCCTTGTCATGAGCATTTCCGATATCAAAATTAGAAAATGTGATCATGGAAGTATCAGGTTCTCCAAACGAGCAAGATCATACCCATTATGTGGGTGATCGGAACAAAATTGTTAAAATGTTGAAAATAATTATGAACTATATCATCATCAAGTATCCTGGTGACTTCAAAGTATAAAGCTTTATGGAATCCAAATCTATAGTAAGTTGTGCAATCCTGTTACTTTAATATTAGAAATATATACTCTGATGATCAATCTAAAATTATAGATCATAAATTTTACGTTTATTCAATGTGTATGCCATTTTCAGCAAAATATTATTTCAAGCTCGAATTCAAATTAGAGTGTCCAATAACAATGAGAACATTTTCCAAGGAATTACCGAAATTTGGACAAAATTTATGGAAAATGAGGGTAAGTTTGACTTTTGGATTAGTGCGAGTTTGCAAATTTGATCAGAAGTTTTTCTTAAAATCCAATCAGGATCTGGTTCAACCAAGTGTGACAGAAATTATGACGTATATTGATAGTGAAGAGGGTGAAGAAAATGATGGAGCAGTTTCAGTTGATACGGTCAATCAATCACCAAGAAAGGTCAGGATCAGAAGGTCATAGTTTAAATTCGTGGTATTTTATTCCTGCTTCAATGTGACGAGTGCCACTTTTTTCTAATAATTTTTTAGTTTATTATTCCACTAGAAAAACATTTAGTCTAATTTTACCTGTTTTAATGAAGCAAAAAATACATTTAAACAAATAATTGGTTTTATTATTTGATTTATATATCTTCATCATGAAATCTTCTAATGGTGAAAACCACCATTCATTATTAATTCCAAATCACATGATTGGCATTCAAATAAAATAATGTTTCTAATTTCATTCATCAGTTCTTGTTGGTTGATTTGCCATTATTTTTAAAATTTTTTTGATAATTGGTTTCATGAATACTTGGCAAATTAGAAATGAAATATTCACATGCACTGAAGAAATGTTAATATCACTACAGTAAAAGCCATCAAAGTGGCACAAAGAGGCGGCAAACTTTGAGTTTTTAAAATTTATCACATGCACAAATTTCAGCAATAAAATTTAACAAACGTTTTATCAATTATTCAATAGTTTGTATAGGCACCCCAATGTTTTATATACCTAATGTTGATGGTGATGTTAGTGATGTTGAAATGATGATGATTTACATAAATTTTTACTTTTCAAATAAAGATGGGAACCACAATTCAAATTTCACATGCCACAACTGCAACCACAATTAGTTTAACTACAGTCAATGCTTGTTATAGTGGATCTTGTTATAGTGGATTTTGCCTATGGTGGACTTTTTTTATTTTCCCAATTCTCTTCATAATAAAATTTGTTTGTTATAGTGAACTTTTAAAAAATTTGATATAGAACATAGCTTATGAATTATGTTCGTTATAGTAGAAATCATGTGGTTTTATGGCAATCTTTTACATTAATAGTTAGTTTCTAAATAGTAATGTGTTAACAAAAGTATTTGTACATTATCCTTTTTTGATGGTGGCAATAAAGTATTCTATTCTTGGTTAATTTTTTTTAACAATAAATTAACGTTTGTATGTTGTCCTTTTTTTTTACTGATGAAGAAATTATTAGGAGCCAAATCCTGAGGTTGATGATTCTGACGAAGAGGAAGAAGTGGAAATGATGGTTATTTCTGATAAAGAGGCATTAAATAGTTTAGAAAAAGTGATTCAATATTTAAAAAATCCACCAGATAATTTTAGCTATCAAGAATTAAAAATGATTAATAGTTTAAAATCAAAAATTCATAAACATGTTTAGGATAATGCAAAACAACTTATTATTATGTTAGACAGTTTTATTTACTATGTATCTATATGTTGTACATGAATTTATTTGTGTTATTAATAAAAAATTGATCTTGTTATAAGAGACTTTTCAATTTATTATAATAAACTGATCAAGTATTCAAACCAGTCCAATTTCATACCTATATTCAAAACACCAATAAGACAATTAGCTCTCCAACGTAACAGAATATCAAATCTCATAATTATATTTAAACGAAAGAATTTTAATGACTCAACATGACTAGAAATGACATGAAAATAATTCTACACAGAAGGTTCAAGTAATACATTTAATTAGGATTTCAAAGAAATCGGAGAACTAGATGATAGAACCTTTAACATGTATAAATAACATTGTAATTTCCTTAACTTCAAAAAAATATAATCATCATCAATATCATAAAAATATCATCATAATAACTAACACTAAACCTTGTCCTTGTCCTTGTTGTCTTCGAATATTATATTTTCGTAATGACAATAAATCTATCTCTAACGACGAATTTATACTAATCCCGTGCATAATTATTTTCTCTTATTTTATATTTGTCTCTATATTTTTTATTTCTTTTCTTTTCTTTTGGTGAGGTAATATTTAATAAACCTTATTTAGTAGTTTTGGAGACGTACCTAACTTGGTAGCAAAGAGGAAAACGGCTAGAAGAGCACCCACCAAGAAACGTGATCAGGATACATAATGTAAAATCTAAAGAAGATATTGTTTAGTGTTTCTTAGTATAAGAAATTGTTTAATGATAGTAAAAGATAGTTTTGAGAGTAAACATAAATATACATTCGCGGAAATTGTTATTACGATTTAATATAAATAAATGGGAAAATTGCATTGGCATCTCATAGAAATTTGTGTGAGACGCGGATTTTGATCTCACAATAGTCAAGCACAATTTTAAAGCCAGCTTGGGATTATGGGTAAAAAAAAACAATAGTTGTAATAAAATTAGTTATTTCACTTAAGGAAAGCAATAAAAGCTATTTATTTATTATCTTTGTTTATTTGTTGTTTAATTAATATCAAACAATAACAATAATAGTCGCATAACAATTCTTTCTGATTATATAGATCCTTTTTTGTTTTTTGGTTAATGCAATGTTGTATATACATACCTTTAATAATTTATTATTAATAATAGTAGTATTATTACAGTAATATCTTGATGTTGAATTTCTATCACTGGTAAAAAAAATTTTTTAAATATTTGTTAAAATGTTTTATATAATAATTAATAAATTTTTTTTAATTATATCAAAATATTCAAACCTTATGTCTGCTTATTATAAATCAACTGCATCCCATATGAATTTCAATTAATTCGTTGTGAAAGACAAGACGGGCATACACAATCAGAACTTGAAGAAAATTGTTTACAATAATATTGAAGAAACTATAGTTATCATGAAAATTAAAAAATTAGGTCTATTGGTCAGTGGCTATAATCAAGTTTGTTGGAATTTAAAAGAAAAGTCACCAGAAGGTGTTTGTGATATCAAAACAAACAAAAGCTTCATATTTAAAATAAATATTAAGTAGAGCCAAAAAACCTGAGAATGCAATAAATCATAATGAAAATTCGTTGGATTTTCATGATTTATTTCTTGTTCAAATGGCACTATGCTGCATTGTCATTATTGTTTTATTCAAATAGGGTTTATGAAAGTACTTGAATCTTGAAAATTATCATAGTAGTTCTCATCAATTGGAAAATTACAAAGTATATAAATATTTGAGAAGAATTAATTGGTCAATGAATGGAGTTAAAAGAATTCCTTGTCTATTTGAATAAAATAAATAATACTTTTGTCCTGTAGGTGATTATAATGAATCTAATGTGCAACAAATAATAAACAAGCCCTAAATGTAAATGCGAGTATGAATAAAATGATCATTCTTAATTTTTTTCCATATCTATTTTCATTAAAAAATATAAAGCATTCATCCAATAAACTCTGCAAGTGTATGATTGTCATGCTTCGTAAATACATGATAATCTTTTACTATTAGAAATTTTTTGAATCATTATATTATTTATAATATGAAAAACTTGAAGCAGGCTTTAATAATATGCATATCAAATCTTATGGTTCTATCGATTCTATCACCTACATACACAATGTTTGAAATAAAGTTATAGTTTCAATAGTTATTGAACTGGTTTAAAAGAAAATTTTTAAATAATTTACTCCATTCATAATGTCACCTTATAATCATAATAATAGTTAATTTGATTGGAGAATAGAAAAGGGCCTAACTACGAAAATCATGATTCTGAATTAATAATATCTAGCTTAGAAACTAGATAAAGAGTAGGTATAATATTATTATAATTAATTACCAAGACATTTTTAATAAATATAAAAGAATATCGCGTTTGTAACTCTCATCTGCTTTATCATCATCAAAAAAGAATGCTAATGTGGGAAGCATTCGATGTGAAAATTATTTTAGAAGAAAAATAAATATTAATAATTTGAATTGATTGTAAGACTGTAGCACAAAATTTAAATTCAATTGTTTATAAAAAATTTAAATTGGAAGCATGGAACCAATTAGTTTTTTTACCTGTGCAAACTGTCGACATGTGATAAAAATTGATGAATCTTTGTTAGACCTTAACAATGGTTCAATAGATATACTGTTACGTATGTATTTCTAATATATCTTATTTTAACATTAAAATGATTACTCATGCAAAGGACATGAATGTTACCTTTGACAAATTATTTAATTTAGCACCATTACCTGAAGAAACATCAAAAGTTTCAGACTTGAATAAAACAGACTTTAAGTTAAAAAAGAAAACTAGTTTTAATGACTTTAATAATAATAATGATGATGTTGATGGTTACCAATCTAAAAAAAGGTCAATGTCTACAGCAAGTGAGTCACGCGGAATGGCAAGATATGCAAGTATAGGTTCAACTAAGAAGAAAGATTCTTACTTGGCACCATCAGAATCTTATGTGATGCTATCACGATCACATGAGAATGGATTATCATCTGATAGTGGCGATATAAGTAACAGCATTATTATCAATGATGATAGACAGCAACGGGCCAGTATTAGTTATCGATTGAAAGTAACGAATCGTCTTTTTGATTTGATGAATTCGAGATCAGAGTTGTCTCATCCAATGTGCCAAGAATGTACCGAGATGTTATTGGATAGTTTGAGTAAACAGTTAACAGACACTTCAAAAGAACGTGATTGTTATAAAGATTTTTTAAAGAAAATGAATGGAAGCATTATTAGTGATGAAGAGACTGAAAAATTACAAAAAGAAATTCAAGAGGCAAGCCATTGATAGCAATTAATTATGCAATTTCATATAAATGTTATTTATAGGCAAAGTTCATAATTATAATATTAATAACAATGATTAAGTTATTATTTATTAATTTATTTATTTTGGTGGATAGATTAAAAATAAAGAATTGGCAGCAACTGATATGTTGAAAGATATTGAACATGAGAGAGAAGTATTGAAAAAAGAATTAGAAAAATTAGAGGCAGAAACAAGTCAACTTGATGAGCTCGAAGAAAAGTAATTACATACATACATAAAGAATATTTGATTGTTTGTTTTGATTATTACAATTATATCTATACTAATTATCATAAATTTTTTTTTAAAATAATAGTTATTGGAAAGAATTTAATAATTTTCATATTCAATTACAATCTTTTCAAAATGATAGGGATAGTATAAATTTAAAATATGACCATGATACAAAATTATTAGAAAAATTACATAGAACCAATGTCTATAACGACACTTTTTGTATTGGGCATGATGGATATTTTGGAACTATAAATGGATTTCGACTTGGACGTTTACCCAAAATTCCGGTAAATTATTACTATCATAATTATAATTATAATTTTTACAAAAGTTTTAAACATAACATAAAAATATATAAGGTGGAATGGAATGAAATCAATGCTGCATGGGGACAAACTGCATTATTGCTATCAATAATTGCAAAACGGCTTAAATTTACATTTCAAAAGTATGTAATTTTATAATTCTTTAAAACAAAAATTTTAAATAATGTAGAAATGTATTGATTTTCGTTATTCTATTTTATTTTATTTTTATTTAGTTATAGATTAATTCCATTAGGCTCTTTTTCACGAGTTGAAAAAATTGATGGTGACAGTATAACAAGTTATGAATTGTAAGTATTCAATCATTTCTTTTTATTTTAAATGTTCAAAAAATATATATTTGTATATAATTATTTTAATCAAAACTATTACAGGTATGGTACAGGTGATATTGCAATAGGAAGATTATTTCAGAATCGTCGTTTTGATAGTGCAATGGTAGGATTTTTGAATTGTCTACAGCAATTAGGAGAATATGTGGAAAGTGAAGATCCAAAATTAAATTTACCATACCGGTAGGATCTTGTTTTGTATTGTTTTTGTGAATAAATCAGAAACAATTTGCCGTGATTTTCTTCCTTCATATTTATTTATCTATTTGATTTATCATTCTCACAATTGCACACACATATACATATATACATATAGAATTAACAAAGATAAAATCAACGATGCATCGATACGACTACAATTCAGTGTGGAAGAATGGACAAGAGCATTAAAATATACTTTAGCATATCTTAAATGGATTTTAGCATATGCATCATCAATTAAAAATGGATCTGGCAAAAAAATTAATTCAACAGATTGAATATTGAAATATTGAATAGAATTTGTTTTATTATTTATTTATGGTTTAAATTTTTATTTATTTAAATTTTTTTTGTGTTTGGTAGCAGAAATAAATATATTTACTGAATAATGAATATATTTTTTTTTTGAGTTGTGCCATCAAAAATGTGTTGTCTCTAGTTTTGAAAGAATTCATGTGATTCTGGAAACTCATTCTTGGGAACCATTGTGATCAGTTGATTGATCTCCTTGTAATATTCATTAGATTCGTTTTACACTTTTCCATATACATATTATATATTGTGGCGGTTCAATTTTGACATCATCATCTAATGTTAGTAAATGTGTAAACATTAAATATTCCAATTACTATTATTACTATAGTGCTGGTCATACACTAACTCATCTTGGTCAGCTTTAAAGCTAGATTGGGAAATATTGAAAAAAATAAAGTCAATATTTGATAGCTTCTACAATTCATTGTCGAGACAATAAAAAATTACTGGTCTCAGGGTTATTTGTTTTAAAAATCATGTGTTTTATATGTTTTTATATTTTCTAAATTGAAGCATTTGAAATTTTTAAAAGCTAATAATTCTGGAACTAATACTAATACAGTCAAACCTTGATAAACCGAACTACTATAAACCGATTTTCGCTTTATAACGATACAAAATTGGTTAATAAAAATTATTTCGTTAAGCCGAATTTTATTATAATTTCTACTTGATAAACCCAAACTTAATGGTTTGTACAAAATAATAAAAATGTAACTTTCTAAGCCGAATATGATCATAAACTTGTTTTAAAAATTCGTCTTATAATGATAAAATTCGGCTTAAAAATAATGTCGATCTACTTTCTATAAAATTTCTACTTTAACCATGGTCATGCATGTTCTAATAAAAAAACACGAAAATTAGAATTTTTGAAGTTGATAATGTTGAAATTGAAGTTGAATAAGAAAATCATGAAGTTCAAGATTTAATTAACTAACTCCCATTTGATGACTCACTTTTAGCGGACGAATATTTAAATATTGAGAATAACATGGTTGCAGGTGAATTAGTAATGGAAGATGAGGATATTATTGCATTAATTCAATCAACAGAAATAGATGAGCAAGCAATATGATGAAACCTTTATTCCAGAAATTTCTAATAATGGGTCTTATTAAATTTTTTAGTATACCCTCTAAGTGATTTCGATGTATATGAAGATGAATTAATGTAAAAAAAAAATAATATTAATATTAATTTCACATGTATAATGTCTTTAACAATAAATTTAATTGATAATACATTAATATATATAAATTATACGGATTATCTATAATAAATATTTTTCTCTAGTTATAATATTAATACTAATACTAATACTAAGTCTAACGGTCCGTTATAGAGTGAACTGTATATAGAAAGAAAGAATTTTTATTATTGTAAATGCAATTAAGATTCAATAATAACAAAACTATTACTAAAAAACAAATTTTCTATATAAAAATTTCCAATGCTAAAGAGTAAACTTTTTTCTTTACTTAAAGTAAAATAAAATATATTAATATGTTCTCTGAGTTATGTTTATCTGCACGCCAAAAAAAAAAATTTATGTAGTGGAGCAACCAATCATTTAGATTAACAAGTAAAAACTTCAACAATACATAAATATGTAATTGATTGATTTACGTTAATCGCGTTAAATCATCATCATCAGCATAATAATAAACTAGGGATGCATAATATCGATGCCCACGGCTTTAAAATATAATAATAATAATAAATTCACATATTCAAAAAGAGTTAATTAATCAATTAAATATTTCTTCCATACTTACAAAACTTGTGCAAGTCTGTATTCCTTACCAAATAATGCTTCTCTATTTGGTGGTGGTGGTGGTGGTTTTGATAAAACATTATCCTGCTTATTATCAACAATGAAAGGATTTTGTAATAATTCCTTTATAATAGGTGAACCGATCACTTCAACAATTGGCTCAACTGTGTTATTTTGAGGCTTTTGGTTGTTTTGACGAAGACTAGAAGAAAGTAAAAATAATTTAATCTTAAAAAGTATATTATATAAGGTAAATAAACCCATTTTCTCTTTTTCAAATTAAAAATTAGATAGTTAACTCTTCCTTTGTTGAAGTTAAAATGGAATGTTTATGATCGGGTGTGACCGTAATTTTTGAATTCGTATTTTTCCAATATTATTATTTTGCGTTTGAAGTTGACTGTTGAAACTGATATTAATAATTATTTACACTTCAATGTAAAAATCCAACATCTAAAATTTAATCCTTGTTTCACTAAATTCGACGCGTATTATAATTACCATAAAAATTTTTATTGATTGAATAAACGGGGGGGTTTTTTTAATTGAAAAAATGTCCAAAATTTCTCAACGGAAACGGAAAGTAATATTAAAAACAATTGATATTAATATGATGAATGTAACAATTAATTTATCATCGTCCGTCCGTCAATCATTTTATAATAATAATCTATAAAAAATATGTTTTATTGATTTAACCGGCTGTAATACGAACAATCGAATATAAACTATTTTTTTTCACACATAATTTAAATATAGCAAAAGAAACCAATTAATTGTATTTATAATTTAATTAATATATATATATATACATATGCATTATTTGTTCTAATAATAATAAAAATACTAATTGTTTTTTTACACACGAGTAATTTTTTTATAATAAGATTTAACAGATCTCCATTCGTTCTGATAGACTTGTGATTTTTGAAGTCGATTATTAGTTCGAGGTCTTTTTTCTTGATGTTCATTACCATTATTAATTCCTTCACGTTTTCTTTTGTGTTCAATAGATTTATGTTCATTCTGGGATGTTCCTTGTGATTTTTGAAGTTGATTATTATTATTTTTCTTGACGTCTATTACCATTATTAATTCCTTCATGTTTGCTTTTATGTTCAATAGATCTACTATGTTCATTCTGAGATGTTTCTTGTGATTTTTGAAGTTGATTATTATTAGTTCAAGGTCTTTTTTCTTGATGTTTATTACCATTATTAATTCCTTCATGTTTTCTTTTGCATTCAATAGATCTATGTTCAT